AAAACAAACTTCGAATGCCAACTTTTGGTCAGATTGTATCACCATCATCATCATCATCCACACCTTATCCCAACTATACGGGGTCGACTACATGAATCCTGTTTTGATAATTTGTTCTATTTAAAACCATATCCACTGTTAAATTGTTAGTGCTTTTTGGCCAGATTGTATCACTGATTTCTTTCGGTAATCCATCTTTAGCAGTTTTTTGTATATTTTTTTGTCATGAGTGGCAGTTAATAATTCTTATTAATCTTTATATATATATATATATATATATATATATATATACTTCTGGTATATTCCTTTTAGCTTTCTATGCGGAAAGGCTATAAAGTCCTTGTTCCGGTCAATAATCACTTATTCTGCTCGTTGTTAATCATGGTCATTTGAGATACAGATAGGAGGTGGTCTTGCTGAGTTTGCTGTGGCCCAAGAGAGCTTGACAGTTAAGCGGCCTCCTGAAGTATCAGCACCTGAAGGTGCAGGATTACCTGTAGCTGGCGGCACTGCACACCAGATGCTTGTCAGTTCTGCTGGGGTCAAGCTTGATGGTAGTGGCAAGCCAACAAACATTCTGATTACTGCAGCCTCAGGTGGTGTAGGTCACTATGCTGTTCAGCTGGCAAAGCTTGGGAAAACACATGTCACAGCAACCTGTGGAGCTCGAAACATCGAGTTGGTTAAGAGCCTAGGGGCAGATGAAGTTCTTGATTATAAGACCACAGATGGAGCAGCATTAAAGAGCCCTTCTGGTCGGAAATATGATGTAGTTCTCCACTGTGCAACCGGTATTCCTTGGTCAACCTTTGAGCCAAATTTGAGCGATAACGCCAAGGTTATAGATATCACTCCTAACCTTAGTTCCTTGTTGACGTTTGCATTGAAGAAGTTGACTTTCTCAAAGAAGCAGTATGTGCCATTACTTGTAATCCCCAAGAAAGACAATCTGGAATTTTTGGTTAATTTGGTGAAGGAAGGGAAGCTCAAGACTTTACTGGACTCAAAATATCCACTTAGTAAGGCTGAAGATGCTTGGGCTAAGATCATAGAAGGTCATGCTACTGGGAAAATAATCGTGGAGCCATAAATTATTAGTCCCTTGGTGGTGGGGGGATGTATTTCAGTAATATCACTATGCAAGGGACTTGTAGAAGATATACTAGAATAGTCCTTGTGCACAATTCTTGTGTTAAAATTCCTGTGTATCTAATATACTGTTTTCTGGAAACCATAGTGTCTTTTCTATTTGACGGTTCCATTTTTAGACCCTGTGGTTGTATTATTTTATTCTGTGCAATATTTGACATAGAGCACCTATGTACAGTCTTCTAATGTGTTTGTGCTTGGAACTTGATGTTTTGTTCTATGATCTTGGCAGCATTCATATCTCTACTTGTTTTTGCAAATATTTCATTTAAAGAACACATATATCTAGTCTTCTTATGTGCTCATGTGCTATAGAAGTATTTAATGTTGTTGTGTCCCATGATTTTGGCAGTAAGCTTTGAAGACTTCTAATGCTTGTCAAAGAGACAGATCTTGACTAAATCTTCGGATAATCTATTCCCCCTAGATTTGGGTGATGGATCAGTTGAAAGTTAGGATAGATATTCAATTTATGGAAAAGAAGCATATCTAGCTCAATGATTTTTCTTTGAAAGATTTGGGTGATGGATTTAGGTTTGTCCAGTTCACGATTACTGGATGAAAAACTTGGAACGTACTTGAGTGAGTTCTTGAGATGTTACGGTTTAGGGATGAATAGGATGGCCTGACCCCGAGGAATCTCTGTGAGATTCATCTTTCTGCAAAATGTATATTGGTAAAGAATAAATAGAGAAAAGGGCTCCATGCCAGCACCAATTGGCCAATGATCAGCCTCATCATGATTATAAATTTGCCCAACTTTTACCAAATTTCAGTGACATTGAAAAGAGTCCTGTAATGGTAAAAAAAGATATAATGCCTAACAAAGTTATAACCAATAATCAGTATTTTCATTCGATAATCTCGTGGCTAAAAAGCGGTTCGATGTGATATTTGTAATTTTTCAGTGGTGATCCTTTAGGGAAGCAATGGAAATTCTTGATTAGTAACCTGTACTTTGGGCTAGTGCCAGTTTTTGATCCCCCAAATTTTAAAATGCAACAATTCAGTACTCAATTTTCAAAACGTGCTAATTTAGTACCTGTCATTAACCAGCCGTTAAGTGGCATATGAAAAGACATGAATGCCCTTTGGATGTCACTTAATTTTTCTTTATCAACCATCCAAACTCCCTTTTTAAAACTAAAACACTATTCATCATCTTCTTCCTCAACAGTTCTTTGGCATTGCTTTCCCCAACAAGCAACCCATGAGGGTGTATGACTATGAAACATATACGATTGCAAGGTTCAAAGTATCGATACGCATTGGCCCATATCAGCCAATACCTATCATGCTGGTGGCTTCCTGATATGCCCCTACAAGGGGTGTATTGGGGTTCTGACCGGCTCAGGGGTGGAGGAGCCTTAAACTGGCCCCACTGAACTGGTTTTGAAAAATAAATAAAAAAAAAACTAAAAAACATTATCAATATCGCTTGATACGCCCCTATTGACGTATCGGGCATATCGATATTTTGAACCTTGGACGATTGGACGACGAGAAGTGGGCTTGTGAAAACTGATTGGTTGCAAGCACCCTTCATCTCTCTCTCAGGTAGTCTCTCTTCAAGATCTGATTTGGGTCACAGAGCACTATTTCAGTCTCAAGGTAGAAGATGATGAACAGTGCTTTTAAGGGTGGTTTTGGCATTTTAAAAGTTTTAAACCACACGCCATCACATGATACATATAACTGACAGATCACTAATAGAAGGTATTAAATTGGCATGTTTTGAAAATTTGCATATTGAATTGTCGTGTTTTAAAGCTCAATGACCAAAATGGTACTAGGCCCAAAGTAATCAGGAATTTTCCCAAAAAATAAATGGTTATCTATAGAGCCCCCACTAGGAAAGAAATTATGATTACTTGGTCTTTACAAGTATAAAAGATTCTCTGATGCTATGGCCCTCTGCCTCCACAACTTGCCACCTGTCGAGCCAGAACCCACTCTCGGATCACAGATGCACGGATGGCCCCCACTAAAACAAGTCTCGTTCATTGATACTTTTTCTAATTTCCTCCCCCGCAATAAAAAATTAAAAAGAGAACTGAATCTAATCTTATTTACCAACATTAAAAAAAAGTCAGAATCTTCAAAATTTCATTGACCTTGACATATGAAAATATAGCAGTTTGGAAAGAGTATAAATACAAATATAAAGTGCAAAACCTTATATAGTTTGGAAAGAGTATAAATACAAATACATATTTGCATTTGTATTCCTTCCAAATTAAGCCAGAACAAAACTTTTGCACGGAAATGAATGATCCAATCGAAGAGAGAGATACCATAATCTCTTCTTGATTCCTTTTATTCTCATGAAGCCCTTCATCAATCTAATAATCTCTGGCACTGCCTATATGCTCCCACTTATTAGGTCCTTGTTAACTACAATCCTGGCACTGACTTGTTCAAAGACTTTTTGGTGGATGATATATTAAGGGGATGGTCAGCAGTGGCAAATTCTTCAATTAGACAGTTTGTGCTTCAACCTTATCGGACACCTTCAACACAATAAAGGGTAAAATAAAGCTTTGACGGAAGCTCCTTGGGCAATCGAAGACCCTCTAGAGCTGGGGGAGTCTTCAAGGATGAGGAGGGCAGACTGATGGTATTATATTCTAGTCTCAGATGTAAAAGAAACAGAACCACCAACTCCCAATATTTTCAAAACATACAGTTTTGTGAATGAAATCGAAATCATTTCAATGCTGGCTAATTTCTATAAGATACCGGCGTTTATTGCACCTGCTCAAATGATACTCTTTACTTTGATGGCAGCTGCCTACTGGGTGTTCTTCCTAATATGACCATCTCAATTGAAATCGGCTTCAGTGCTCACAAGACCATGCTAACACCATTCACAGTCTTTGCAGCCTTGCATTGAGAATATCTCCCCATAAAAAAAAAGCATACGAGTACGAAGATATTCTCAATGCATGGCTGTAAAAGGCTGTGTGAACGATGTAAGCATGGTCTTGTGAGCATTGAAGTCAAYCTCATCTCAATCGAATGTAGCTAGGTACCATGATCGGTGGGACCAGTCAGTCAAGTCTCTCTGAATGAAAAGTATGATCTGACCTAGTATTTTCCAAACTCACATCCTCTGCACCCACGAATGAAAAAAAAAAAAAAGTCATGTCTAGCTCTCAACTTCCATGAGTTGGGATCATCGGCCAAGGAAGCACATTCTAACACCCTCCCAACATGATTTGGCACCCTACGTCTTACTATGAGAGTAGGAACAACCATACGTCTTAACAGAGTCTAGATCGTTAACCGGCGTTTGGGCTCTAAAAAGCCATCTCCCTTGAATTCCCCTCTTATGTATGTTTATTTTCTCTCCCCTACCTCTACCCCTCTCTCTCTCTCTCTCTCTCTCTCTAACCACCACCCCTGGTTCACTAGTGAGAAAGACTACAAGTGTGAACCGTCGTTGGCTGTTGTTCTTGCCAACGCCATAGTTATGATCACAAATAATAAATATATTGAGTGTGTTGCAAAGGACACATGTTAAATGGGGTGAAGAAGTTTCAGGCAAAATACTAAACACAACTAAAATTATTCCTTTAGAAAGCGATTATAAATGCTAAGGCTTCTTTTGGAAATGATGCAAATATGTAGTGTAAAACGGTCCATTTAAATTACAAAATTTGGTTAGTTTTTCACTAACAAATTTACTTTCTTACCAAACAGACTTTTAGTTGTAATGGATGCAAACACAAATTCTAATAAAGCATATGTTTTTTTTTTTTTTTATCAAAAGTCCACTTGAATGCAAATTTACTTCTTTTTTATTGAAGTACTTTTACATCTTATTATCAATGTAAATATGCAGTGGTTTGACATTTGTCAATGCATAAATGTAATGTTGTCAAATACAAGCAAAAATGAACCAGAGTACAAATTTATCCTAAACTGAGATTTACACTCCATTTGTATCATTTCCAAATACAGCCTAAATGCCCAATAACCAGAGAAATAATAGGTAAAAAATTCTTAGTTTGAAAAATATGTGCACCCCTGCTAGCCCATTGCATGTAGCTAGATCTTCAAAGTTCAAACAAAAACAAGCCTGGTGCAAGGTGTAAATAATAGTTAGAGATGGATCTTGAATGACAAAAATGTGGGTTAAAAAATACATAGGAAGATAATTTCAACCAGAAATTCCATTTGCCCAAAAATTCTTTGTTGTTTCTAAAGGAAAAAACGGCTTACCCTATGAAATATGCTTAGATTCTTTTTTGGGAAAATTCCAAATTAATATCTTGTACTACTTTAAGGATAGTCTTAGTTTAGTACTMAAAACATGAAGAGCCAATAATGCAGCCGATAACGGATGATATGGATGTTACTTTTGTAACGGGAGATCCATGCTTGAAGGAGACCAAGAATTATGTCAGCCATGCAATCAATACCCCTTCCGAGGGATATAGTGCAATGGATATCTCACCAGCCTCGAAGCCTATAATTGCTACTAAAGCAAAACGCACAATGGGAGATTTAATTGTCAATTCAATGGGTCAACCTTCCACTTCTTATGCTGTGACCAATATGAAGAATAGAGCAAGATCGTTAATTTCCTCCTTTCAACTCTAAATAACTGAATGTTGTAAAAATAATAAAGAAGGTAGAATAGAACTTATCAGCAATCGCTTTCTAAACTGAAGTTAAAGTGATGTGGTATTGTAAAATCTCGAAACTGAGAATTGTAGGGAGAAGGAAGGCTGAGTCATGCCACTTGGTCACTCTCCTTAAAACCGCATTTTCCCCCTATGGTGCAACCGGGTGATTGCAAATCGGTCGCCAAGATAAAAYAGCCCACAGGCTTCTGGTAGGTGTGCACTCACTTACTAGACCTCCATGAACCACAAAAGACTGATGCTCAGATTTACAGAGAAGGCAGAGTCAAAAAAAGTTGTGTGTAGATTGGGTCGTTCAACACTCTTCTTATAGAGTGTTCTCAAAACTGAATGGACACAGATGTGTCCGTTCAGACATGAGCCTATTCAGAACGGTGCACCTGTTCGAAGAGACGTTTTAAAAAGACATGAAAAGAGAAAATGTTTTAATTTAAAGTGTTAAATTCGAATTCGAAGAGACACATTTTAAAAAGACACGAAAAGAGAAAACGTTTTAATTTAAAAAGTTAAATTCGAATTCGAAGAGACACATTTTAAAAAGGTTTAATCCGGTTAAAACCAAAACGATTTAGTGCATCACACACGCACATGCACCTG